CTTGGAAGATGGGGACAATCACCCCTTCTTTGGTAGGTCCCACGTTGAGAAGGTAGTTGCCTCCCAAGCTCACAGTCTGCACCAGCTCCTGTGGCAGATAAACCAAGGTAACAAGCTGCATCATCTTCACCTCTGAGGACACAGAAACACCTTTTGTTTTGGTGTTTCTTTTCTCCTGCCCCATGCTGCTTCTTTCTCACAGCAATTAAATCATCTATGACACTTGAGCTAATGGCTCAGTAGATTAAATGAAGGGCAGTATTTACACAGCCCAGTCTGTTAAAAGCATAATCAGCTCTGGAAATTGGTTTGATTAAAGTATGATTGCCTTCAGATCATGAAATAATGTTACAAGTTGGAATAAAAATATCTAGCATATCTGAAAATGTGTCAATATTTCCCATGAAATATATTATTTTCCCATTATAGACCAGGTCTTATTTAGAACATCACTGTATCTAAATATGAATGATGGCACTCATCAACTGCTCCTTAACTCCAGCCTGAGTGTATGGAACACACGACAACTCCTTTGGCAAGTAGGGGGATGAAGGAAACCTCTAGTTCTCAGTTTTTCCCCCATACCTGTTATGATTTCAGCTTCCTCACCTCAATGATACTTGCTTCATCCATGACCTCAGCGATGCTCATGTTGCTCCGGTAGCCCCAGGACAGCTTGTCAATGGAGGAGCACATCTCCCACTTGTGATCTGGCAGAGTGCCTGGCTTGTATTTGTCAGCACAGTTGTAGAACCCTCCGTGCCGGCACGAGCAGCGGTTACACCACCGGTCGTTAACGACGACGGTGTCCTGAGGGAACACACTCAGCTCAGGGCAGAGAACGTTTTGTCTTGGATTGTTCCATCTGCAATCACCCCCCTAAGCCAGCAAAGGCGTCCAAGTGAGGAGGTAAACACCTAAAATTAAAATTCCCCGGGTATTGAAAGAGAGAATCCTCCTGAGAAGGCTGAGTCTGCCTCTGAGAGAGCCCCTCCCTGTTCTCTCAGGCAGCGCTGCAAAGGACAGTGGAGCTTCTCACAGGAGCACTGTGGGGCCTTCTTGGTTTTTGTGGAAGAATAAAACACATTTGGCATCTGCCAGGTGGGTTTTTGGTGTTATCACACATCTCTCTGCTGCCAGACCTCCCACACCCACACAAGGAGGGACAGCAGACACTGGTACCTTGACGGGACTGTCGTTATAGAGCCAGGCAAGGAAAGAGGTGGAATTCCAGTACGAATCTGGAGCTTCCCAGTCTCCATCCGACCAAATCAAGTCTGGTTTGTACCTAAGAGAGATAAATGTTATCTCAAAATGGCTCATTTTCTCCTGCCACAGTGTTTCCTGTATCTGACATAATTTTACTTCCCCTTCCCACTGCCTGTGTCACCAGGAGGTTTTGCTTCACTTTCTGCTTCACACAAAGCTCTAAGGGAGGTTGTTGCACAGCTCAAGAGAGGATGCAGTTCTTCCAAAAAAACAGAATTTGGCATCTCAAAGGCAATTCTGAGGCACATTCTTGAGCTGGGACAACAGCCTTTCTGTCCATGTGCCCAAGCCTCGTATTTTTGTCAGAAAGGGGAAGCAAGGCAAGGATGTAAATCCACAGTGAAATCACTCTTCTACTCTACAAATACCAGGCAGGTTGCCCCACTTCCAGCCACCCTGCACAAAGGCAGGATTAAAGGGAACTGTTTTTCCATGAAAAACTTGTCCCTACCTTATTCTACAGATTAGACTGTTCACAGGACAAATGTGAACCCATTTTCTAATGGTTAGTAATGAGATTTGCCTTGGCAAAAATTAACACTCTCTTCTCTGGAACCAGGAAGTGCTCACGGTTCTGAACTGGCTGTAGCTCTTACTTTAACACGAGATCATAAAGTTCTGGCATCATCTTCTTTATAACGAAGTTCTGGGTCTTGAAGTCATTTTTTTTGTCAGCAAGATAGAGTGGGTTAAACCACTCCATGAGGGAGTGATAGAGCCCATAGCGTAGGTTCCTGAAGGACAGAAACGGAGGGAAGAGTTAGGCTCCAGTGGGGATTAAGAACTGCTGGCATTATTATTTCATTATTTGCAAGCACTAGGTTTTTCACACTAAACTCATCATTTTCTGCTGTTTGTCAGCACAGCCAGGAGGATTCACTGCAATATTATGAAAAAAAAAAAAAAAACAAACAACTGATTCAGCTGACAGAACAGCAGTTTGGCAGTGCCATACCTCTCCCTGAGGGCTTCTCCCAGCTCTCCTACGAGGTCTCGGTGGGGCCCTACATCCACAGAATTCCAGTTCCAGGACCTGGGCGACCCCCAGTTGGTGAAGCCTTCATGGTGCTTTGTGGTCAGGACCACGTACCTGAGGGGAAAAAGGTTTTGATCAGGATGGCAAGGGGACAGCTGAGATATTCCACAGTCACTAAAACAGCCAGGGACTGGATAACCACACTGCGAGGAGCCCTCTGCCACTACCCTTCAAATTTAGAAGCAACTACAAGAATAAAAGAGGTTTTAACTGGATTTTAATGCCGGAGAAGAATGAACAATCGAGACTTAGGAAGCAGCAAGACCAGTCATCTCCTCAGCACTCTGGGCATTGACTCATCCCCTCAGGGACCCCTGCAGCCTCTTGGGGACCCCAGGCACAGTGTCCCCATCCTCTCTGGGCCTCTCCAGGGAGTCAGGGACCCCCAGACATGGGTCTCCTCTCCGCTCGGTCACCACAGACCTCCAACCCTCAGACATTCCCAGAAATGGCTCCTCTATACCCCCAGGGATGCCCAGACCCTCCCATCCCCTCAGGGACTCCTGGCCATGGTACTTATTCCCTCAGAGACCCCCTCATCACCTCAGAGACCCCCAGACCCTCCCCATCCCCTCAGGGACCCTCAGACCCCATCCTGTTCCCTCAGGGACCCCCTGTTCTCTCAGGGACCTCCAGATCCACCACCCATCCCCTCAGGGACCCACCTTCCCCTCAGGGACCCTCAGACCCTCCCCAGCCCCTCAGAAACCCATGGTCAGGCACCCATTCCCTCAAGGACTCCTCCATCCCCTCAGGAACTCCTCCATCCCCTCAGGGACCCCCAGATCCAGCCCCTATCCCCTCAGTAACTCCTGGCCACGGCACTCATTCCCTCAGAGACCCCCTGTCCCCTAAGGGACCCCCAGACCCTCCCCAGCCCCTCAGGGACTCCACCCCAGCCAGCCCCAGCCGCCGACCTGGCCCCTGCCCTCCAGAAGAGCTCTGCCCACTGCCGGGGCTGGAAGTCGTAGGCGGTAAAATGGGGGGCGAACTCGGCGTAAGAGGTGCCGGGCGGGAACCGGGTCCGCACGAAGCGCTCGTAGGCGGCATTGTGCTGGCCCTGCCAGTGCCACCAGAACCACTCGGAGCCCCAGGCGGGCACCGAGAACACCCCCCAGTGCACGAACACGCCGACCTTGGCGCGGTCGAACCAGGCCGGCAGCGGGCGCGCGTCCAGGCTGCCCCAGTCCGGGCGGTACTGTGACGGCGGGGCCGCCAGGCACGGCCCGAGCGCGGCCGCCACGCACAGCACCGCGCCCGCCGCCATGGCCCGTGACGTCACGGCCGACGCCGTGGGGACCGGGGCAACGGCGGGACCGCGGGGCCGCGGGTTCGAGGCTGCGGTCCGCGACATCCCCGCGGGGGTGCCCGATCCAACCCTTAGCCCCGCGCAGGAACATCCCCGAGGGTCACGCCAAGTGCTCCTTGAGCTCTGGCAGCCTTGGTGCTGCAACCGCGTCCCCCTTGGTTGGCCCCGTGTCCCTTGCTCCTGTCTTGCCAGGCCGCCTGTAGCTTCCCACGTTCCCTACGTTTTGCCAGTGTCACGGAGCACTTCTCTCGTTTATTCTAACTAGCTAAACCTGCCTGTGTTAAATCTGAGTGAACGGCCTTGTCAACTGGAGGTGTTTATGCACCAGGGAAGAAACAGAAATAAAACATGAGAAGTGGCTGTAATGTTTAATATGTAACATCCACCAAACACTGCGTGGTTAGGTCAGCTCTCCTGGAATTTGCTGGAGGAAACGTGGTACCTGCAGGGTCCTGTCTGCCCCAGCTATGGCTGAGTCCATAAACCACAGTGAGAACGTTCTAGTTTTTCATGATTGGATGCTAAAATCAACATGGTCCCAAATGCTGTGAGACACAATTGGCCAAGACTGTCTGCAAGTCCAGAGGAACCATCTGCACCTTTCCTAGGAAGAGCCAAGGTACCTCCTGCTGCTGCCATCCTGCTCCTGTGGGATCCAGCCAGGCATTTTCTGCCAGTGGGAGCTCATCATGACTTTGTGTTGTCTCTGTTGTTCACCTTTGCCAGGACATGAGGACTTTTTTTGTCACTGTGCTGCACATACACGACCCCCAGAGTCTGGTATAAATAGATGCACCTCTGCCTCATGTGCTCTCAGCACTCTGCTGATGGTGCTGGCACAGCTCTGCCTGTACCCAGTGAAGGGGTTTAGAGAGATTATGTGATCCCTGGGGATTTCTGGAGAACTTGAAAGTCTGTGGAGGGTTTTACTTGATGTTACCTCTGTGTTAAGGAGTGTAAGGAAGACACTATTGAATGTGATAAAAACACATTGGGGGTTATTGGTGGACAGGCAGGGGGAATTGTCATAAAATATTAGGATCTGCTGTTCTGGGATGTGGTTTTATCTACTGTCTCGTGGCTGGCACTGGTAACTCTGCAGCCTGGGGACTGGCTGCCTGTGTAAGTTATAGAATCACGGAATTATTTAGATGGGAAAAGACTTCCAAGATCACTGAGTCCAATCTTTGACCAATCCCCACCTTGTCACCCAGCCCAGAGCACTGAGTGCCACAGGGATGGGCAGCCCCTTCCATTGTTTAACCCTTCCAGTGAAGAAATTCCTCCTGATGTCCAACCTGAACCTCCCCTGGCAGGAGGTGGTAGAATCACAGAATCACAGAATATTCTGGGTTGGAAGGGACCAACAAGGATCATCAAGTCCAGCTCCTGTACAGGACACCCCAACAATCCCACCATGTGCCTGAGGGCAAAGTCCGTGCGCTTCATGTCCCAGCACTGAAGGACAAGATCAGCAGGAGCTGTCTCCATGGCAGGCAGCTGATCCTCATCTCCCAGGTCCTCCATCAGAAGAGAAAAGAAACAGGAAGGTGATCCAGACTGTTTCTGCCAGCCTGAGTTCCCGGGTCTCCCACGGACGCCTCCCTACGTCACGTGCGCGTCCTCGCAGACGGTCTCTACCACGGAGGACCTGTGGGTGCTCTCAGCCTCGGGGCTCTCCTCAGGGGCCTTCAGCTGCCTCCTGAAGTGAGAAAACACCCTCCTCAGGGAGGAATTCAGCTCCTTGCTCCGCAGGGCGTAAATGATGGGGTTCACCATGGAGTTGAGCAGGCAGAGGGTGCTGCAGAAGGCGAACACCTTGCGCAGGCGGTCGCTCAGCCTGGAGAAGACGCTGTAGATCATGAGCACGAGGACGGGGGACCAGCAGAGCACGAGGACAGCCAGCACCATGACCAGGGTCTTGGCCAGCCTCACGTCCATCCTCATGCGGGTGTTCTGCTTCCCAGCCTGTGCCTGGTGCTGCTCCATGTAGGCCACGTGCTGGCGGGCCCTCCACAGCACGTGGGCGTAGGCGTAGACGATGCAGCCCAGCAGGAGCAGGGTGAGGCACACCCAGCCCGACAGGTAGTTGTCGTCCACGAAGGGGAACAGCTCGGAGCAGGAGGAGTCCAGCGTGCAGCAGTTCCAGCCCAGGAGGGGCAGGGAAGCCACGGCGGCGCAGGTGGCCCAGAGCGCTCCCAGGGCTATCCAGGCTCTTCTCCTCGTCATCAGGAGCTTGTACTCGGAGGGCCGGCTGATGGAGACGTAGCGGTCCAGGGCTGTGAGCAGCAGGCTGCTGAGGGAGGCGGAGAAGGAGGTGTTCACCCCTCCCAGCTGCAGCAGGAACGCCTCCTTGGAGAAACCAGTTCCGTTGAACACGTGGAAGTTCACAAAGCTGCAGACAAAGATGATGCTGGCCAGGATGTCAGCGAGGGCCAGGCTGCTGATGAAGATGTAGGAAGGCTTTTTCCTGGTCCTGGGGGAAGAGAAGATCAAGTAGAGCACCAAGGAGTTCTCGAAAACACACAGTGTCCCAAAGAGGCAGCACAGGGTGGCAATGCTTATCTTCTGTGCCTGTGTGCTGAGCACCATGAAACACTCCATGGTGCTCCCACTGCACTTGGAGGCGTTTTCAGGTATCTTACAAATATCCATGGTTGTTAACTGGATCTAGGAGCTCACAGAGAGCCTTCCTGCTTCCTTCTGCTCTTCCTCAGATGCTCTGAAAAAGAGAGGAAGAGGACTTACACGACAGGCAGTAAATTCAACCCAGACACATTCCCCCCCTTTAGAGGGAAGCAAGCAAAAGGAAAATAGCCCATGGGGACCTATTTTCAGGTCCACAGCCCAAATGCTGGAGCCAGCTTCCACCCTTTCCCAGCAGAGATCCAGGCTTTGTCTGGTGATGTAGCTGAGCCCCATCTGTCGCAGCCCACGGGTACCACGTCTGCACCACGTCCATTCCCAGGCCGGTTCCTCACCACAAGAGGGAAGCAGCAACACTGGGAATTGCACAGATCCTGGGCCAGTTCTTACCAGTCCTCCAGGATTCACTGCTCAGGGCACCCTGTGGCAGCAGAGTTGGGTTTTTCTCTCCACTTCTGCAGCTCAATGCATTTAACCCCCTTCATCTTCGTCACACTGAGGGGCTTGTCCTTCAGTTGTCTTCTCCCATCCTTGTTGTGGGTTACACTGGTGTTTAAACCAAGTGCACTTCCACTGAGGGCTCAGTTGTGCTGCCCCAGGTTACAGGGAACAAAGGCTACAGAGAGCAGGTGAAGAGGCAGCTCTGGGATACACTAAACCTGCCTGATTTACAGCAAGATGCTATGTTCCAAGTGCCAAGCATCTGCTGGAAAATCCCACAGAACAGGAAAAAAAGCATCTAGAAAGCATCTGCCTGGCTTTGAGTGTCCAGGATCCTTTATCCAGGCAACGGGACCATGAGTTCCCACTGCTGGAGGAGAGCACTGACCTGACAGCATTACCTTTTCCCCAGAACAAACAAGTCACTATCTCTCCTTCCCCTCAGCTCTTTTTTGAAAGGGGAAATGTGCCAAACACGTGAGGCACAGCCGGGACTGTGACAGCCACAGCTCCCTGGGGAGCAGGGCAGGGGCTGGGCTGCTGGGCTGGGGGCTCCAGCCACCTGTAATCCACCACCTGTGGTTTCTCTGCCTGTTTTGGGAAATCCAGCAAAGGCAGCAGCTGTTTGTAGAGGTGACAACAGCCAGCACTGACCAACAAACCTCCATCTACAACATCTGACACGTATTTTATACCTGACCCCGTGACTTCCTTCCCCACTGATTTCCCTGACACTCATCCCCGGTTCTGTTGTTTGCAGCAGTTGCAAAATACTCTCGAGCTTCTCAGTACTTGACATGCTGCCCAGGAGGTCTTGGAGAAGAGCCTGAGCCCCACACTTCACTCCTGCTGCCTGTGGAGCTGGAATATTGGCGGCTCCAGGACGTTTGGTGCGTGTTACAGGCAGAGCAGGTCTATCCTGAACTGGATTTCTTGGCATGTCAGGCTGGAGGAGTCCTGGACTTTGGCTGACATGTGGGCTCAGCGTTGCAGCAAGTCTCTCTCCTCTTACATCAGGCCCTGGCATGGGGTAACAGGACTGGGGATGTTGCACTCACATCTCAGAGCTCTCGTTTCCTGCAGCTCTTCACAGGAACACGACACGGGCAGAGGGAGTTACCAACTGCTGTTATTAAACCTGACAACATCCCTCCCTCCAGAGAGAGGTGGATTTTAGCAGACAGATGGACTTTTCATATCACAGGGCTCACCAGGGACCACCAGGGTAACAACTGCCTCGAGTATCCAAACCTCCCCAGCCAAACTCCAGCATCCAGACCAAGACATCCTTTAATTAAGCAGACTCCAGCATCATCTTGGCATCCCTTACCTGCAGCCAGCATTCCCAGGGCCATCATAAATCCTCTAATCTGAAGTTGTGCAATATCCAACTAACTTACTTAGAAGCTTGGAAACTGCTGAACACTGGGCAAGAGACTGAAGGCAGCAAGATGCCATCCCTGACATTACATTGCTTGGGGAGAGAATTTGGTTATAATGGTAAAAAACTCCTGCACTGCCTGTCCCCCTTTTTTGTTTGCCTTTTTTTTGACATAAAGCTGCTTTTTCATGCCCAGGGGACATTTCCCTCTCACCAGATGAGCTCCTGGATTTGTTTGTTCATGCCCCCTGCCTCCTGCACAGCTCAGCTCCTGGGAAACACTCCAGCCCCTATCTGGGGGAGAGCTGATCTGCAGCATCCTCCACAGGGCAAATCCCACATCCAGGGTGGAAAACCCCTTTCCAGGAGCAGCATCTCCACCTCCCTGGGAATTCCAGCCCCGCAACCAGCCCAAGGAGCCCAGGGAGTCCCAGCTGACAGCTCAGCTCAGCAACAAAGAGCAAAGTGGCTTCTCGCCCTCCTTTCGCTCCAGGAGCTGTGGCACAGAGGGACTGGTGCCCTGGAAGGAGCCAAGTGTGGATTCCCTGGGCTTCTGCACAGGAATAACTCTGTCTGGCACAGTGTCTCCTGCCAGCAGGATCTCCCGGGGGGGGAATATTTTGCCAAAACAAAGCACCCTTGCAACGGAGAACCCCCCCAGACAGTGCCAGCACCAACAGCAGAGCCCCAGGAAACAACACCCCGAATAAATGAGGAGCCCAGTTATTAGGAACAGAATCCGGGAATGACATTTGGGAATGCAACATATTCCTGATACAGCCCCAGTGACTGCAAACTCTGCCCAGAGCAGCAGAGAAACCTCCCCCTCCATTAGATCTGCTGTGAGCCCACTCACTCCAGCCTAATAACTCCACTGGCTTTGGGGGAAATTAAATTTACAAATGGAAAAGTCCTTTTCCTTCTCAGTACATTGCTGGGATTGATTCCAGCTGTCAGATTTGCAACACTTCTCACGCAGCAGCACGATTCCTGCTTCCACTCCTGCATTTACAGAGCCATCACAGCATCCTGGTGATTAATAAGTTACATACCAGTTGCTTAGATAATGTAAAATTAAGTTTTCCTGCTGCAATCAGCCCGTGCATTGTGCCTGCAGCACTCTGAAAGTCTTGAATATTTCATGTTCAGAATTTCTGAGAGATGTATCGTTATGATAAAATAAAATGTCTTAAATGATCACCTGATATGATTTATGCAAAAATTGTCATAAATGCTTGGATATTTCACTTGCTGAAAAAGCAAAATACTTTCTGCTTTACAAATATTTTGGTTTATCTGTGAGTTCCTGTTCTAGTTGCAGAAGTTTTTCCATTATTTTGGAAATAGCTGTTCATCCCAGCCTGTCCCTCTGACCACATCAAATACTGGGGAGTGGAATTCCCTCCCTGCTGTAGGACCTGTCTGGCACAAATGTCACCCTGAAGATTATTTGCTTCATTTCTTTCCAGAGTCCAGCTCTGCCCACGTGTGACTGCCTGGGGGGGACAGTGTTTGAAGCCCAGGATGGGGTGGGTGCAGAGCAGCTGTGAGGGCCAGTTTGGGTACAAAACAGGGCAAAATGGAGCTGCCCTCACTCCACCAAAACCACCACACACAGAATCAGAGTAAACACTGAGCTCAGCATCACACTCCTCCCTGTGAGACTTTTGGAAATACCTGTGACACACAGAATCATGGAATGGCTGGGTTGGAAGGGACCTTAAAGCTCATCCAGTCCCACCCCCTGCCATGGGCAGGGACACCTTCCACTAGCCCAGGTTGCTCCAAGCCCTATCCAACCTGGCCTTGGACACTTCCAGGGATGGGGCAGCCACAGCTTCTCTGGGCAATCTGTGCCAGGGCCTCTCCACCCTCACAGGGAAGGATTTCTTCCCAATATCCTGTCTAATCCTGTCAGCATGAAGCCATTCCAGGTTGTCCCATCCCCATAGTTCCTGATGAACTGATCCAACGTTAATATTTCCAAAAATCCGCTGTAAAGACTTACCCCACAGCCTGCTATTAAGCACTTACCTTTCATCCTCTCCTTAAGAAAGAATTCGTCCTAAAACCCAATTTCCCCCCCTTTGCCACACGCCGCAGTTCATCCCGAGCAGCACCAGGAACCTCCCTGTGCAGTGGAGCCTCCCCAGCCCGCCCCGTGCGTGGGCTCTGGGGGATGATGTGAGAAAAAGGACCCTGCCGGATGCTGTGGGGCAGCAAAGGCAAACCACTCACCTCCCCGCGGCTGCTCGGGGGCTTCCCATCCCTCTGGCTCCCAGGGCAGCCCGTGCAGCTGCGAGCGGCGGCTGCTTCCCTCTCCTCTCACGCACTTCTGCTTTCAACTGGCTTTCTTGTACCACTCTGGTTTATTCCCCCCGGGCTGGAAAACCATCAGTGAGAGTCCTCCCTCCGCTTTCTTGCTCTTTCTGTGAATGTGTGGCGGGTTTTCTTTCCTTCCCCACTTCCCCTCTTGGGTGTTGTGTTCTTCTGCCTGCTACTGCCACATCTCACAACCGCTCGAGCGCTCCTGGCTTGCTGAAATAATTCTCTCACTCCATCTGATTCTTCCATGTACCTGCAGCGTTTGAGGCAAGGGACAGTCAAGGGGCTCTTCTGATTTCTCTGGGGAAGGGGAAGAGGAGGGAGAGGAAAAGGCCTAGGAGGCAGACATGGAAAAGTCTGCATATACCTGGCTGTTTCAGGGCAGGTTTAAGGGCAAGCTCAGAAATCTACTGTCTTTCAGCCCCATTAACAGCACAAACCTCACCCCTCTGTGCCCCCCAAAGTGAGGAAGGCTCTGCTTTGTGCACACGCTCAGCTAATGCCAGAGGAATGAGGTGATTTTCTCTCTTGCAAGAGGAAGGGAAGGTCTTCAGTGATACAATCCTGTGGTGAGGACAGACCCAGGGCTGCAGAGCCTGCAGTCACTGCTCTACCTGCTCTCAGCCATCCTTCCTCCCATAACCACTTCCCCCCCTTGGCTGGGCAGCAGCTGCCTGGAGCTGGGTGTGGGCAGGTTGTGCTGGTGCTGCTGGAAAGCAGGGACAGCTGCTGGGTGACAGCAGGGACAGTGTCGCTGTGTTGGTGGGTAGAGGCAAGTTTGCCCCAAATCCCAGAGGAATTGGCCACATATGGTTGTGTACAGACCATCCAAGCTGCAGTGGGGAGCGCACGCAGTGCTGGGTGTGAAGCAAAGACGTGATCCTTGGCCCCTGGATGCACCTTACCCTGCTCTGCCACCCTACGGAGCCATCCCACAGCCCCATCCCAGCACCAGCAACCCGCCTTCTCCAAGTGGGAGCTCAACCTTCCCTCCTGCTTGGATCCCAGTTCCCCCATTCTGGGATGGTTTTGAACAGCAGTTACACCTCTTGCTCTCCGGATCCTGCTTTGCCTCTTTCCCCTCTGCCGTTTTCTGTGGCCCAGGGGGGTTCCCGGCAGCCGGAGCTCCGGCGGTCAGCGATGCTCGGCTGCCCTCTCCAGGGAAACCTGCAGCACTCGCGGGGCATCGGCTTGTGAAGGCTTGAGAAAAGAGGCAGAATTGGGAACCCAGCGCTTCCCCTCGGCCCCTGGCCGGGAAAAGGGGATTCCCAGCTCACCAGGGCGCTTGGACACTGCAAGGACCTGCATGACCCTTTAGATGCTGCTCAGAGCTGGGCGGGTTTGGAAGCCCCTCTCTGGATCTCGTGTGTGGAAACCACACTAACAGTGAAAGGCCTCTCGTGCTGCTGTGTAAGCGGAGCAGAAGAGGTGGGTTATCAGCTCGGTCTCAAAAAATAAGGGCTTCCATTTCAGTTCCCACGAACTGACAAATTTTCCTTTGCAGGAACAGCTACGAGACTGTAAAGAATAGGTGAGAAACAGGAAGATGCTTTATACTATTCCTGAGTACAAAAAGCAGCTCTCAGCCTCAAACTGTTCCCTGCTCTGACACACCTTCACATCCAGCAGGATTCTGTGAAATATGGACCCAAGTTTCCTCTGTCTGCAGGCAGAACTGTTGTGACACAGGAGTCTGTGTTACAGGAAAGAAACATTATTGTGGCAGCATAGTTAAAAGTTTCTATTTTGAGTCTCATTTATGGCAAAAATTGTCCTGCCAGATTGGCTTTCAGTGGCCTCTGGCTCAGCTGGGTGACGTTACCTGAATTCAGTGTACCTGATTTTATGGCATTTAAGCCAGAATTATATTCAGGTGTGACTGAGCTGTCACACAGACAGTGGTGCAGGGGTTTGCTGAGCTCTTTGGGGCAGTCTTGGCAGCACTTTGCACTCCTGGCCTTGGTGCCAGGAGCTGAACTGGATCCTCCCAAGGCTGAGCAGAACTGGCAAGTGGGCAGACAGCCCTGGGAAGGGATGCCTTCCTTGTGGCCCTTGCACAGGTAGTAGCTCTGGCTGCAGAGGTGTCTGGCTGTTGGGTGCCCATCTTACTGGGGTGCAGGAGGGGCTGGGGCTGTGTCTGGCGAGCTGCCAGCTCTGGTCCTGCAGCGTGTTGGGGGAAAGGGTCAAGGAAATGCTGTGCAGGCACTGGGGAAAAGGGACTGTGAGCTTGGTGTTGCTCAGTGGTGGTGTCTCTGTCTGCAGAGCAGAGGGAACACCCCGGGGCTGTGTTGGGACACAGCTCATGTGATGGGACACTCAGACACCAGCCCTGGCAGGAAGGGTGTCTGTGCCTTGTGGGAGGACTTGCTTGTATTTCTCTGACTGTTGTGTTTGCTGAAGCTGAATTTGAAAACTGGGTGGCCCAGACAGGGCAGGGAGTGGAGGCACTGCTCACCTTGATAAGCTGTGACTCAGAGCCAGGTGAGTGACTTTATATTGCACTCTTAGAGGAAATGCTCAGAAAAAATAACCCCAGACTTATTCTCTTGTCTAGCACAGCTCCTGAGAGCAAACAGGGCCTGTCCAAGGGGTCTTCCTGTGCCCCAGGAGAGCTGTTCCTGCCGCAGAAACTCCTGTGCTGCCCTGCAGGGAGGAGGTTGAGGGTGGCAATGTTTTCCCTGCTAATAGGGTGTGAACCAGGCGTATTGATTTGAACGGGTTGAAGGGTCCTGCAGGGTTCTGTGACTCAGGGCTGGTGGAGTTTGAATGGGGAGCTGTTGAAACAGAAAACACACAGGGTGTGACTTGGGAGTTGTGCCTGGAGGTGCTTTTATTTATGGAGTTCAGAAGTCATGTTCTGGAGCTGATGTACCTCAGGTACTGGTGGACACTGACTTAATTCATATGTACAGGTTACATAGAAAATATCATTAAGTCTCCTGCTTTTGTTTTATTTAATGTTCTTATGAGGAGCTTTAAACAATTAAAGTATGTAATTTTATTGCATTGTTTGGGTTCTTGTTCCTCTTCTCTATTTACTCTGCAGAGATTCAAATATCCACCCAGTTCCTGCAGATCGTTGCTGTGGATTTCCTGAGCTTTATTTGACAGAGGAAAAGGAGTCCTCTGCCAGACAGAATAAAGGATATTCTAAACATGACTGTATACTCAATACTCTAGTGCAGATTTTCAAGAAAATACAAACTCAACACATTTCTCACACGAGGATAGATTGATACCCTGCTTAATGTTTGACTCAGATGGAAATGTCTGCCTAGTTTCAAGTGTGTCATGGGGCTCTGAGAGCTGCAGAAAGTAAACATCTTGGGCTTACTAAAAGTCACGTAGTACCGGAAACTTGTCACTGTAAAACAGCACTGGGGCAACGGTTCACTGTTAACTTAACAAATGATTCATCCGTGCTGCTGACTTCCTGCAGGATCCACCACGGGTAATTCCACTGAAACCCTCCAGCGGGAGTTTTGGCATTCCATAAACACATGAATGTGTAGATGCTCCAGCGTGGTGAGACCCATCCCAGCCACAGCTGAAAGCGGCTCAGTTTGGGGCTAATGAAGCTACAGGGACTTTGTCTTCACTGGAACTTCGGTTCAAAGTGCTGGTTGTGGCAGTGCCAGCACACATGGAGCTGCTTCCCTGGGCTGGATTAACATTTGCTGTGAGAGGGAACAGAGATGCTGAGTGAAAAATAGCAGTGTCCAGGGAAAACCTTGAATTGTTGTCGCTGCAGCAGCAAAAATATGGTGGGGAGATGAGGAGGATTTGGGTAATGCAGAAACTGGCTCCCTGGGAACATGAAGAAAGTCTGTATTCGTTGCAGCAAGCCTTGGATTACATGAGGAAGCAGAATAATCCTGACAGAGCAGACACTTGCACAATAGAAAAACCACGTACATGTTGTGAGAGGATGTAGTGGAGCTGAGGTCACTGAGTGCGTGTCCCCACGTGGCACAGCACAGTCGGCTTTGGAAGCACTGCCCTGGCTCTGGAGCTTGGTCTGTGGCAGCTGGAGGGCTGTGTGGGTATGAAGGGTGGGCACAACACGGTCCTGGAGGCAGCTAAAATACCTCAGACTACCTGTGAGTACCTGAGGGGAATGTAGTGCCACAAGCTTTGGAGCAAGAAGTCTTATGTTGAGGCCTTTGGAAAAAAATAGAGGGGTTAAAAATAGTTGTTTGAAGGAGCGAAGTAGCTTCTCTTGAAGGAATCTCAGTTTTGATGATAAGGGGGACTGAACCCTGGATTCAGTCTGTGCTGTGTCTTCAGGACACAGGAATTTGAGAGTTTCTGTCCCTGCCAAGGTTACCATGGCTCTGGGAATATCTCCTTTTCTTCCATTGCAAGACTGAAAACCAGCCCAAGGCTTCAACAGCTGAAGTGTAAAAAATGGGTAACTTTGCAATTTGGGCATTGTGGTGTTTGGGATATTCTGGACTGCCCGTCCTTTTGATTTAAAAAATACCCCTTTGTGTATTTTTGAACTCTGAACAACACGATTTACTGCAGTCACCGGGTTCCCAGTGTGTTTCAGCAGAACAGTCCCTGCACAAGTACAGCACTGGTTTATCCTTGACATTTCCTGCTCCTGTCAGGCTAAATGTGTCAGCCTGACCCCGAAACTAGTTCTGAAAGACGAGATGTTTTTTGAATTCTCAAAGATAGTGAGGAAAAACTGCCAGACCTTGTGTCATCCTTGATCTGGATTGAAAAGCACACGGATGTTCTGCTCCCCGGACAAGGGAGCACGTTTGCAGCCTGTAAAATACTGTTTCTTAATCCCAGTGACATGTCCTGACTTGAAAACTGAGATGAGGTTGTTTCAGCAGAAATAAACTAAAGATAGAACCAAAGCAAAAATCTGCTGATGTGCATTATAGGAGAGTTGCTTGAGATAATCAGTGGAATTTCAAGGCTTAAGGGTTTGGTTGCAACAGATATTGTTGTCTTCTATCTAAAATGAAAGCTGCTACAAGGATCTCAGCCATAACATTATGCCAAAAAATCCAAAGCAAAGGGAGGAAAACAAAGTAATTTCAGCTTGGTTTGTGCAAACATACGATAAAGAATATGAACAAAGGTCGGGGCTTGGGTATGTCAACACATCTCATGTATTTAAACATCTGATGGGGTTTTTTAATAACTGCATAACAAATACAAACTTCTTTACGTTATCCTGGTAGTGCCTGAAGACCCTGGGGTGGGTCACAGCCCCGTAACACCAGGTGCTGGTCAGTAAGGAAACACTTTTGGTTTAGATGTTTTAGGGATAAAAGAGGAAAGAGTAGTTTTTTTCCATTCTGTAGCTAAAAATGCAGGGTAACTCAAGGAACCCAAGGGGTCTGTCTGTACCTCAAAATAAAAAAATCTGAATGTTCATGTGTTGGGTTTAAGTACTGCTTTGATCTAGTGGTGTTGGAACTGAGTTAGTTCTTTTCCATTTTCTTTGGAAATTCCTTTTTTTTGGCCCTTAATGTGGTGTACAGTGCTCAACTGGCCCCTCAGCAGTGGGCAGAGAGCACTCTTAAACCTGCAAATTTTTAACATATATTTAATTTTCATTCACCCTATAATTGTAAAGGCCAAATCTTGTGGGTTTTGGTGTAAAATTATACTTTGAGGTTAAGTAAGAGGATGTGAATATAAACATGAACTGCAGCCGCTGCCAGGGGCTTTGCTTTCCCACAGCAGCAGTTTAAACCCGCGGAAGCTTTTCCCTCTATTTTGACACGAAATAAAAAAATCCCTCTGCGCTATTTTTAATACTTTAAATTTAAACATTAAATAGTTTAACTAAGCGCAGGTGTGTGGAATTGGCTCAGTGAACCCTCTGACACCAGAGAGCTGCGGGATCTCTGAGGGGCCGGATTTTACTCTTTGTTCGCTGAATCCCCTCGCACAGCCGCGGGTTGTGTGTGTGGTTTTGTGCGTTTTTCCTTTTTGTTTGTGTGTGCGTGAATTATTTTACATCATTGAAGCCCCAAGCGGCAGCTGGCGCGGGCGTCCCACCACCTTTTGTTGTGCTAATTCCCGAGCGGGGCTGAGCGGAGGGGGTTGCTGGCAGTGTGTCCCGGGGCTGTGGAGTGGAACCCGGGGGCTGTGGAGGGGAGCCCGGGGACCCTCGGGCGGTACCCGGTGGAGGGGTCGAGCCCGGCGGGACAAAGCCCCATAGCCGGTCCCGCGCTGCCCTTCGTGAGGGGATTCAAATGGCGGCCCCGCCCGCCCGCACGCCGCGGCCGCTCTGCCACGGCCCCGCCTAGCAACAGGCGGAGCTTAGCGCCCATTGGCGGAGCGAGAGAGCGGCGCGCTCCTATTGGCTGAAGGCGTGGGGAGCAGTGAGGGGGGAGGAGGGTGAAGGTGTTAAACCGCGCAGGACGCGGCCGCCATTTTGTGAAGGAGCGAGAGGGGCAGCGCAGGGTGGAGGGAGCTTTGAGGGTGGGGGGGTTGGAGATTGACGGCGGAGCAGCAAGGGGTCGGTTCCGAGTGACCCGTGTGTGTTGTCTCTGCTTGCGGGCGAACGGAGCGGACTGAAGTCGGTAAGGGCGGAGCGGTGCGGGAAGGGCCGGGCGCGGCCGCCGCCATGTTGTGCTCCGTTGTGGGGCGGTGGAGACGGGGGGTCCCGGCTCCCCGCGGGGCTCGGGGAGAGGAGAAAGTTCCGAGGCGAAGAAGCGCCGGTTCGTGGGAGCAGCAGCAGCTGGGCTGAGACTGGTTATATTCCCTTGGTTTGAGTCCAAACAAGGCGAAAGAAATGGAGATGGGCGGCTCCTCTAGAGTTGAGGGAGGGATGGGCTGGGGGCTGATGAGTTCGGAGATTTACAG